CTGAGGCATGTAACACCTTTACTGTGTGCTCGTTCAAATCTTCTCAGACACTGACCACTCTGGATTTTCCACACCTGGAGAGGAAACAGCAAATGAAATAGAGGTGGTTACTTTGTTATGAGATCACAGAAGCTTAAACATCAGAGCCAATACGTATCTGTTTCTGAGCCATGCTACACTTCATTTGTTTTTATATGGAATTGCAACATTACTGCAATTGCAAGTGAATCTTTCTGGTCACCACCTCTACCAACATACCGTACAAAAAGTTTTGTACCTTGATCTTTCCATCCTGTGCTCCAGTTGCTAGCATTTCTGTATCTCTACTGAAGCACATGCACAGCACTGCATCATCCATCATCATAAAATTATCTTGTGCCTGGTACTTCAGATCCTAAATGAAAGCAGAAGATCCACCAGTCAAAATAGCGGATTCAATGAAATACGTTTTAAGGCAAAAGTGCCAGCAGTTTTAACTTCAGTTACATTTTATAACCTATCATCATCAGCCTTATAATAACAGGGAAGTGCTATTGTCATAATTTTAGAGGCAACAATGATGATCCAGAAAAGTAAAAAATCATGTTATCGCAGAGGGAAGTCTATGACAAACCAGACAATTAAACCCATGTAAAGATTCCAGACCAATATTTGAATCACCCAAGCAGACATCCTTTTCAGATTCACAGTCCCTGAGAAATGAAAACAAACATAATCTCAAAGAATAAATCAGGTGCTCTGGCCAATGAACTATCCATGTGAAACAAGGCGCAATTTACCTTCCTAATCTTTCCAGTAGTGAAGTTCCATACTTCAATGAAACCATCGACAGAGCCAGTAACCAGATACTGTCCATCTGGGGAAAACCGAGCACACTCCACATGCGACTTCTGCCCAAACTGTTTTATAGAAGAATATAAATTAAGACTAATAAGCAATTTAAAAGAAGCAACTCATTAAAACAAAACTGTAGTCTCATTTTGGTGGCAAAAATACAGTATTTTCTAGAGGCATGCATTCACAAATTTAATGTTAAGGTACAAAAAACCCCATCAATACCTACATACTAGCACTTCAAAAACAAACAAAAAACCCCCCTCCATTTGATCTGGTAATATCTGTGAAACTTATATCAAACACTCCATGCTTACAGCAGCAGTTGGGTTGGTTGTCTTCATATTTTTGTTTTTGCAGTGAACTGTGTATGTTAACAAACACCGTTCCAGTACCCAGCATACATCCCTAGCAGACTTCAGAAATTTCTGAAGTTGTACAAGTTGCTTCACTTGGGATGATGTTTCTCCAGTGAAATTTTCACAGAGAATGTTCAGTATTTTTTATACACAATTTTTAAATTTTACATTTTTAAATGCAAGTGACCATGACAACTGAGTATAGAAAAAAGTTTTCATTAATCAATACAAAAATCCAAGGTCAGTACTGGTAAACAAAACAAGTTCCAATAAAGCATTTTTACCAAGCTGCTACTGAACACAACAAATTGATTTTACAAGTTCCAACTCATGACTTCCGAAAAACATTATCTTCTGTTTGTTGTGAGAACTGGTAGAGCTACTACAGTGAACTAGCGCTTCTCACTGTACAGAACTGCTTGGTGAAATTGAAAAGCCTTCACAGGAGGAAACTGCCTATTCTGTGTTGTGAGTGCTGCAGGACAACTATGTCATTACAGCACAGTTTTCTTTCTTTTTTGAAATCTATATGCTAAAATCCTTAAAAAGGAGATACTGATCATATTAGTAGACCTGGTATGCAGTAGTTCATGATCAAAACTTCAGTGGTTCACAGAAGCTAATATGCACACACAGAAGTTTAAGACATGAGTGTTTCTTTGCACAAATGAAGAAGGGGACTAAGCAAACCACTTCTGAAAACTGAATGATTCTCAACTGTGAAGTCAAAGGAACAATTAATACATTTATCGTATTCACAAATACCATGAGCACCCAATCTTGTTTAAGGGACTTCATTTCAGACTTTCATGAAAAGTCTCCTGATGAGATAAAGCATGGAGAAGAAGTTAAAAAAAAAACAAAACAGAGAGAGAGAGACAGGAAAATGACTTACAAAAAAGAGAACAGAAGAATTCAGAAGGTTTACTCTCATCTCCCAACATAAACCACAGGAAGGAACAAGCAGCAGTAACACACATAAAAGCAAACACATCACCTTAATATGTCTGCTCAGCTGTGTGGGGAACTTTTCTTCTTCTACGTCTTTCACAGCTGCTTTGCCTCTGAACAAGTCGATTGTCATACCAGGAGGAAGCAGGCCCTGATGCTGCTGCCATTTCAGTGCCTTTTGAGGAGTTCAAAGCCATACAGTTAGGTATCAATTAACATATGTCTTCCTCATCAAAACTTGCTTCTAATTAACACAATACAGCAGTAGTTTCTGGTACCCTTACAAATTGTACACCTGCACAGTTTGAGACAAATACACTGCAAACAATTACTTGAAATAAAACTTAACAGATTGTGCTTCCTAACTCATGACCACAAACAGAATAGAACATTATCCCCAAATGATTCTTGCAAGTGAGAATGACTCAGGCCCACCCTTCTCATTCTACCTTCAGCATGCAGTATACAGTACATACGCAGTGTTCAATCGTGTGTTAATTTAAATTACCCGACCTGTTGTCTATTTGCCTAGAACTGCATACATTAAAATTACAAACGACGCATAAGCTTTCTTGGAAGGCACAAGTGAACTTCATTCAAAAGACAGAATCTTATACAACCCCTTCAGCAAAGAGCTGCCTTCAGTTACAGGACGCACCTGTTATGCCGAGAGAATTTATTCGGCACACTTACAAGCTTAAAAAGTAAGATGTAAGCCATAAAACAGCAAAATACATGAAATACTGTCTGCATAGAGTATCAATGAATACATTCTGAGAATCAAAAAAGAGTTGTAAGTACAACAACGGAAATAGTGTGTGTTAGTATGTACTTTGAAAATAATCTTCTCTATGTGCTATTTATTCTGCGGGAAGAAATCTACCGCTAGAGTGCTGCCTTTTCCTACAACCGTGAAATCCTTGCCACATGGAGAAAATACTATTTTTAACTATACCACATGTAAACGTGCAATACTTAAGCTTTACTTTTCTGGAGTTGGAGAATCAACTACATCATAGTTAGTTTTATACGGCAAAGATCTACAGAAAATGACATAGCTACTGAAGTATTTTTCAAGAATTACCTGCCCCAACAACGCCATAAGACGAGATGGAGGTACCACGCTGACTTCTCCAGCTAAAGCTTGTGCAATAGCAGCTCTCCGCTTCTCTTTGCTACTTCCATCTGGGTATGCCTAGAGAGAAGTTATTTTTATGAAGTGATTCTTCTAAACCATTTTCCATAAAAATATCCATTGCTCTGAATTGAAGCCCCTTCCAGATTAATTTTCCATTAAGCCTTCAAAACAGCCCTTCTCTTTAACACCAACCCTTGAAAGATTTGGGATATGCTTTCACTGAAAATGTCAGACTGACATAATCAGTCAGGAATAATGCCCTGTTATTGCTGTTATTATACAACAACAATTTTATTTACGAAATGTACATCTTCTTCTGCATATGTAAGACAGGAAAAGCAAGGCATAGATGTCATCGTGTGGCAGGATACAGGTATAAATCCCCAAACTCCCACCTGTGGTGTACTTCAAAACCACTGCTCTGCTGCATCATGATCAGGTGTTACACGTCATTTCCAAAACACTTCATAAAACGTGTAAAATCATCAAACTGGGAAGCTGCATGTTCTCACTCCCAGAATGGAAAAGAAAAGATGCTGTCAGCTGTTAGCAACTTGGACCGATGCTAGGGGTCACGCAAGACAGCATCGTGAGGTCTCTAGGAAGAGCGTAACATACCTCACGAGGATCAAAGTAAGATCTGGCCAGAAGGTTTTCGAGATGGATGTACCGCTCCGGCTGAGTTTGTTTTAGCATGATCATGGGATCTGTTTGTCTCAGGAGAGACCTGGCAGCACCTAGTTCCCGGAGCTCAATCAACTCCAGCACAACCTGCATCAAGAGACAAACATCTGCATCAGCAAAGGGTAAGCGGAAAACTCCAGAGAGGGGCTTCCACCCAGACCAGAAAAGTCTGTGCACAGCCTGCACTCACTCACCTGCTCATAGAGATCAATGAGGGTCTTGTCGGGCAGCTTCAGCGACTGTATGGCTTGCAGCACTGTGTCCCAATGCCCGCTGTTGATGTCAGCCACAAAGCTCTCAATGCTGTCCACAGTGTTGAGGGACACGGTAGTTTCCTCCTGAAGGGTGGCGAGGGCTCGGTGGAGGCTGTTCTCCTTCAGGTACTGCATGATCAGCCGGATCACACTGCAGGGGAACAGCGCGCAGTCACGACACCAGCCCCACGGGCTACCCTTCCCCGCGGTCCTCCACAGCCGCCGCAGCCCCGTCCCGCCCGGGTGCCCAGCAGCGGCGGAGCGGGCCGCCCTCACGTCCCC